TTTTCATCGCTCTGACCTCACAACTTGTTCTTCCGACCCTCCCCGCCTTCTCAAATGTTTTCCCCTCCATCTCCCTCGCTCCCCTCTGGGCCGGTGTAGCTATCCTCTCTGTTGCTGTGGGGACAGGTCTCATTTAGAGGGAGGTGCAGGGTGATGGCTGTGAGAGACTGTCAAGCGACGGCGACGGTGAAAGGGAGGGCTTAGCAGAGTCTTGAGCTCCACCCATGCAACCCCTGTTATGTGCTGCATTTTTTCTTTAGGCTACCATTAGCTGTAGCTGACAGGAAGCTGCTAACTTGCACAGAGCTGTTAACAGGGAGCTGCTAGCTACCACTAGCTGCAGCTGACAGGGAGCTGCTAGATAGCATTAGCTGCAGCTGACAGGGAGCTGCTAACTAGGAGATGTTGTTTGTTGATGTTTTCATAATTACACATGACAAATATTTTGTGAATCACTTCATACTTCTTATTTTGACTTTCATTTGGATTCCAACTTTTTTATAGGTGCCGTTGTTTTAAACATTTGTTTGCATTTAGTTTGAAAGTGAGATGGATAGTATATGTACTTTAATTTTTGTGTTGCATCAAAAAATGTGCAAATGCTTAGAACAACCCATTCACTCCATAGCTCCCATTATCGCAAATTCCCGGTGCTGCTGCTGCCAGGAGAAGAGGAGGAGGAGGAGGAGGAGGTAGTCAGAGTGTGCCATGTGGTAAACAGAGGAAGAGTCTGGTCAGGGTTTGTTGTCACTGGCCGATGTAACACTAAGGACCAGGCTGAACTTCCTGTGACCCTCATGACCTCCGATAAAAAACATGTTCTGGCCCTCGCCGGAGGAAATTCCCAGACTTTGCCGACCTTCAGCGCTGGCGAAGGTGGTTAAGGAGAAGGTCAGTGCGGTCTCTGTGCCGATGGAAATGAGAACTTCCCCTCTACAGCGGAGCGGTTTTGGGTATCATGCGCCGACGTCAGGCAGCATGGGATACATGACGCACACTGAGCGCCCTCCCTCGCTCACTCTTTCCCCTCTCTCCTTCTCTTTTCCCTTCTGTGGCTGAACAAGACACTGGAGGATGGCTAACATAGCAGCTTCGGTTCATGTGACACTCCCCTGTGCCTTTGGCCTACTTAGCACAGCTGTAGCACTCTGCACGTCCTCAGAAACTCTGTTTGAATAATTCCTCATAAACTTGCTCCCCACTCCCCAAGAGAACAAAACATCCAGAGAAACGATCACTTTGTGCGACTGTCAATCTTTAAAAGGTGTTAATTCATGAAACAACAAAAAAGGGAGGTCAGCTTTCCTTGTGCAGAATAATGTTAAAAAATATTGACAATAAAGTCATCTAAATGTTTCATTGTCAAGTATATGAACACATAAATCCAAAGAGGAAGATCATATTTGATGTCTTTTTTGCTTAATGTTGAAAAAAGGGTAATTCTTTATATTTATAAGGGTTAGGGGTCATTCATAATTATCCAAACTGCTCCCTGTTTGTGCTAAGGTTAAGAAAAAACTAAATTGGATTATTTTGACTTTGTTCCCAACATTTAAACATGCTGAGCTTTTGTGTTTAATCGACTGATAGCCATACATTTCTTAAAAAGTGTCATATAATAAAAAAAATCTTAAAGGTCACATATCCTCCTCATCTTCAACCAGTGTAAATAAGTCTCAGAGAACCTCAAAACATGTCTGTGAAGTGTCTTGTTCTAAATCCACTCTGATCCTGTATTTGATCATGTCTATAAACCCCTCTATTTCAGCCCTGCTCAGAACAGACTGTTTCTGTGTCTGTACCTTTAAATATGTAAATGAGCTGTGTCTGACCACGCCCCCTCTCTGGAAGGGCTCGTTTTCGGCTCAGGCTTTCTCGCTCCATGTCCTATTGTTTACGGTGAGAAGGCAGACTCAGAGGGCAAGACAAACACCTAGCTGTGGGAGTGTCACCCACCTGGGGGAGGGGTTACTGCACTTTGTGATGTCATGAAGGGAAAATATGTAAACGGCCTGTTTGAGCACACATTTTGCTCAAACAGGACTTTCCTCATCATTGAGAGTTTTGTAGACAGACTAGGAACACATATTAGTGTTAGAAGTGTTTTGATTAATATTAATATGTTGTGACTTAAAGTGGCAGCTTCTTATTACACCAAAGTTGTCTAAGATAGGTGGAGAAGCTTGTTTCTGCATTCTCAGAAATACAGCCGTAAGAAAAACACTTACGTCTTGCTAAACAATGTCCACCAGGGTAATGGTAGTTGTTAACATTAGCAACGTTCGATGAAAATGTTTCCATCCAGACTCGACTGACTGAAATCCTTTTGACTCTGTTTCACAAACACGTCTCCTTAAACAAGCTTTTCACCCTCCTACAAACTGGTGACACTTTTCTCCTCAGCCTCCAGTGTATACACACTGGTAGCAGATCTCTCTCTCTAGGTCTCGCTCTGACTCAAAGAAAACAAGGTAAGTGTGTGTGCATGAAGCAGGAAAGGGAGGAAACACACTTGTTCTCTCTTCTGTCTAAACCACATCTACAAATCCTGACCGCTACTTTTATTCTCTCTTCTGCTTTACATTTCTGTGTCCGCATCTCACCCCCGCAGCCCATTTTCCTTCCCAATCTTACATTTAATTGCCGTGACCAGCGGACATATGGGCAGTGCACTGCTGCCAGGAAATGTTACATCTCTATTAGAGCCAGACCTGATGTTCCTACGGTACAGCACGTCCGCCAAATGAGAGCAAATAAAGAAAACAACAGCAAAGGAAGTTCAGGAGAAATACTGTAATGCTAACGTATTTCTTCCGAGATCTCATTAAATCGACACCCTCGGTCTCTTTCTCTTTGGTTCCTCCTTTATCTCCCCTCTAATAAAGATGTGGGAGGTTTTCTCCTCCGTTACTCGCGCCCTGCTGAGGTTTCATTTCACGTCCTCCCCAGGCCGTGGTTGTATGCCAGGCAGATCAGTGCCAGACCAGACTCTCCCTGCCAACTCAGCCTCCGTCCTGCAGGCTGCTTAACGATGCAATCTGCTGCTCACCTCTGACCGGGCCGACTCCATTCACAGTTTCATCACAGCTCATCCAAGAAGGCATGCAATGCAGTCACAGAACTTAAGAAAGCACATATCTTAAGAAGAAATATAGCTCATCATCTCCAGCCAAAACACAGCATGTGAGAGGTGGGGTAGTTATGATCTATATATTGATTCAATAATTAAAAATAAATGGTACAAAACGCAGCAATGCATAGATATTTAGCTTAAAGATACACCTTTTTAAAACGCCTGTGCCACATCTGTCTCACTGTTACCATCCAAGACATCCCTGCAACCAAGCGGTGTCACAACCTTTCATGCTAATCTGACCATGATATGCCTCCAACGTCTCTGTGATTCAGGTACAGCCCGTGATTAGCGCTAAAACACATTCAGCTCAGGCTTCCTTTCTCATGCACTACATTGTTTACAGTCCAATTAGTAACTTAAGAGGGCACTGTGTTGTCTGGTAAAAAAATGGCGCAAAAATCCCGACCTCCGGATATTTTGCAAATTAAACTCTCATTACATCTCCTGGAGGAGCATTCGTTCATATGTTTCTTGTGAGTCTCGGTTTAACTAAGTAGTAAGTTACACAGAGGCTTCACTCTGGATTACTTTGGCCCTAAGAACCAGAAAATTTTCTGATTTTGTTGTGATGTACTTGTATTAACAGGTCTTAATAACAACATCATGAAGTAGATTTGTAAAAAGTAAAACCTTTGTCAAGTCTTCAATATTTCCTCAATTCTCTGGAATAAATGTGCAGTGTGCAAACAAAGGCTGGTGCTCCAATGGGTTTTTCAGGTGGTATACATTTGGGGAATAATCTTAATAGTTATTAAACCACAGTGCTTTGATTGATTGGCAACTAAAAAATATGATGGATAGTAGAAATCTGGAGAAATATTTTGGCAATTTTTTTTGTTAAAACATCAAATTTGATGAGGCATTGGGTCCAATGATGATTCAGAAAAGGACAGCGGGGTCACAGTTGCTGACAAAAGCATTCAACAAATCTCAAGATAATGTTGCTGTTAGCAAGCTAATATATCCTTAGCATTAGCTGAGATCTTACGCCTTTCACACCTGCCATATCATGTAACACATTTGCGCTGTAATGTTTTGTTAAGTTTTCCGAATGCTAAGTGTTGACAACAATTATCTAGCTTTTTGTCGACAAAGAACATCAAGTTTTCTCCTGACGATCAACCACTCCTTGCTAACATCACGGCTCGAAAGTGTTTCAGGCGTAAAAGGTGTAAAATCAGCTGTGCACTGATTGACGGACAGGTGGGTGCATCGTAGCTGTTTACCAGGAGGCTAAAGTGCCGCCTCACCTCCACCACTTCGCATTTATAATTTGATCAAAAGTTTGGTGGAGTCAGCGTTTCCAATATGGGGCTTCAAAACACCTCTTCAGAAACGGCTTGGTGATTTCATTGAGACTACTTCCATGTTTTGTTCAGTCTAAGGGGGGAAATGTACCCGTGCACAGCCAACCCACGTCCTCAGATGCAGGTCGGTTGCAGGAAGAACCAACGTTGTTTTTTTTTTCTGTTACAGACAAGATTTCTTAGATCTTGAATAATTGTGTTGTGGAATAAAGTAGCATAGCATTAGCATCCCACTCCAAGCTAACGTCAGAGGGGATTGGCAGCTGTGTGAACGATTGGATTTGTAGCCCCTTAGAAAGACCAGCCGAGCTCTACAGTACAATGTCAAGTAGCAACAGAAGAATCCTGTTTCAATAATATTAACGTTAGCCATGAGAAGCTGAGTACACTCTGAATCTAATCGTTAAGTAACTCTGGGCGGATTTTCCCCATCACCACTTCCCCTCGCTCATGGGGACTTTAATGAGCTGCTTTGAGAACCATCTTCCCATGTCCTTCTTCCCATCCCTTAGGAAAACCAACGTTTGCTGAGGAAATATTTGAGGAGTGTCCATTACCGAAGCTGTTATGAAAGTTGCCTAACGTCCAAGAAAGTTGGAGTCTGCTCCGGTCTGAGAGGGGCCAGAGAGATGATGACTGTGGATAGCAAGCAGGTCGGCTTGCTCAGATCTGAAACAGGCAAAGCTCTGGACAAACAAAAGCCTGTGTCACTAGTTTTATTGAGAGCGGAGAGGGTAAACACATTTCATAATCAACTGCGCACTTGCCCAACCTACGCGGACACTGACTCATTTTTTACTGCGTGCTTTGTTTACGGTGGATCCGGCTGCAGAGGCGGGGCGTCGTTCCTGCAGTCAAGAAAAGAAAGTGATAGCTTTTGACTTTCTTGTGTGTGTCTCTCTTTTATCTGTTTGTGGTTTTCCTGCCCCGTCCCTCCATCTTCTTCTTCTTCTTTCTCTTGCTCTCTGCAGCTGGTAATGTCTGCAGCTCTCGCCCCTCCACTGCCTCCTGCGTCACTTCCTCTCCTGGTCGGCTCGGCTGTCATGTAAACACAAGCACACCCCTGCTCACAGGCGTGCTCACTCACAAACACTCTCACACAACACACACACACACACACACACACACACACTCCCTCACACACACACACACAAACACCCAGTCACATGGGAGCTGCTAATTATGACCACATAAACCCAGCGGAAATACAACTTTCACAGCTGGCTGTTTGAGCACATTGAGGCACGACTAAAAAAACGTTTACTTCAATAATTCAGGAAAAAGGCTCACCGGAGAAAGAAGTAATGGGCTCATTTCTCAGATAAGGCTCTGATGTCGAGGCTACGAATAGAAAAGAGAGTCAGGGACAGAGATTTTGTGAGAACAGGAAGAAAATTGGTTTCAGCGTCGAGCATTGAAACAAGGCAGCAGAGTAAATGATGAAAACAACACATGTTAAATGACATCCAAATGAAACAGATCTATTTGTTGAGACAGGGCGAGCATAAACATCTGACAGACGTCATGCTTAGTCTGTGACGCAGATGGTCTGTCTTCGGTAAGCACATGCATGAACCCACAAAAACAGGCGCAGATAAACAGGAACACATACACTCACACACACACACACAGACAGACACATGCGTACAGGCAGTCCGTGTTATCGCCGCTCGACTCCTCTGACACACTCCAGCCATTTCAAGCATGTCACTAATCGGAGGTTCAGGCTCATTGCTGAGATTCTGCTCGCACACGTTTGCCAAGAAACACTGTGAAGGGCGGAAATAACAGCTCAGAGCTGTGAAAGTTTGCTTCAAAAGCCTGATGGATTTGTTCTCGGCTAATAAGGCCAAACGCGGCAGGATTAATGCTTGTTAATGGTTAATGCTGCAGGATTATTGCAAATGACATTATCATGCAAGAGCTGGAGGACGTCAAAGCGCATGTTTCACACTGTTTGTACTTGTCAGTGCAATGTTGTTAATTTGTTTATCACAGACAATTAAAATACAAGGAAGCCGAGGAGGAAGTGTGAATTCACAGGTAGCAAACCTGCAAGGTTCTATAGAAGCAGGAACAACATGAAGTGTTTGGTTACAGCAGAGTGATGTTAGTTCCCTGAACTTCATGTCATTCTTTTTATAAAACATACTGAGAATCAGGGGTGGCACAGCTTTGTCATTGGGTCATAATGCATAACAGAGTCCCTGTTCGGCTCTTACATAATGTCTGTCCTGGATTATAATGCTCATACCACATGTTTCACCGCACAGGGGTAGATTCATATTAATGCATACAGTTCCCTTAAAGCGATACAAGAAAAGGTTGTCAACTTTTGACATTCAGTAACATTTAAATAACTGGTTTTATTCGCAAATGTTAAAATTAGATCCCTGGCAGTTTTATAATCTTTTTGTTAAAGCTTTTTTCTTTCCAAATATCTTTAAAACTCAAACTAAGGCTCGCTACAAACTAAACAACTTTAGTCTGGATTTGGGCACTCCCACCCCGATGAGGAGGATTATAATGTGTGGATTGAATTGATGTATTGATTTGAAAATCGTCTCGTGTGTAGCCAGTCTAACTCTGCAGTCAGCTCAGCTGCACTGAGCTTTTTAGCAGCTCTAAGCTTGTTGATATGGAGTTTTAAAGTCAACAAATTCAAAGTTTCCTTTCACAGCTCTCACCAGTCTTGTTTCTGTGAGGAAAAGGAAGCTTTTAGCAGTGACAAAGCTAAAGCTAAAGCTTTAAAAAAGCTACTGTACACTACGTCTCCAGGAGAAAACATCTGACAAAAGCTGAGTCAGGTTCCTACATTCTTATACCCACTAGTTTGAGGGTGTAAATGTGGTCATGTTAGTCTTGGGGATGTAGCAAAAAGATCAGAGTAGTGACTTAAAGTTTCTCTCATTTAACCGGGTGCACTCAAGCAAGTCAGAGCTGTAGTATGCACATGTTATTTCCATTTGCAGGGTCCGTAACAACGCTTTGAGACAACCTGACCCTCTTCAAGTTCACACATAAGAGCACTAACAGCAATATCGTAATCGAAACACGACAGGTTTTTTTGCAACCAGCTGATAAAGCCCTATTCTCAAACATGAGACCAAAATAGAGGTGGAACTAAAACATGGAAGTAAAACTGACAGAAAAAAGACCTTATATGTCAGCCTGTTTCTTTAGGAAACTGTGTTGACATCACAGACTTTAAGTATTAATGTACGAAGCCTGAGTGACTTCACCCGTCTGTTCATGCAGGGGGCGCTGGAGTCCCATCGATGGTGGTCTCCATGCTGGAAATGCTGACTCACCCTAAACTTTCAGTCAGCCTATAAAGACAGGCTGAGAGCTGAGGCGGGTTTTGACGATTGAGACATGAGCTAATCAGACCTATTTGTTTTTTTTGAACCAGGCTGAATATTTCAGGTCAGTTACAAGCGGCATTCAGCTTTAGAGCGAGTGAGCATGTTATTGTTTTTTCCGATCTTGGCTCATTTACAATTAAGCAATCACTTTGGAAACAAAGAGACCAGTGATGACTACTGATGAGGGAACTTAAAAAACAACTTAAAATTGTTGCAACAATTGAAAAATGCTCCATGTGAGAGCAAAAGACAAACTTCTGCAATTACCAACTCTCACCACAGATGTCGCCAGAGAGAAGCAAACAGATCATTTTTGACTTCTTTTTACTCTTTACTACTAATAGAAATTGTTGACTGAAAATGTTCCTCGAACTTCTGACTGATTAATTGGATAACCTAATTGTTTGCCTAATGGCTCACTATGACAGGCTAAAAGCTTTTCCAATGGGCTGTCATCACATTGAATCGACTTATTCAACAATACAGCTAAACAACAAAAACATGCCTGGTTTTGTAACGTTGGTATGAGGTCAGATAAAAGGTTTTGTAATGACTGTCAATAAGGCAACAATAACCAGGAAAGAGTGTTTCCTCATATCAACATATTTATGTAACTGCCTCCTTTGTGGAGCGGACTTCGGAGGCTTTCTGATCTTTTTTATCCCCCTCATGATCAGTCAGATTGGTATAGATATTTGTGCCAGATCAACTGGTGCCTCCTCCAGTTGGCCCAGTCTGAGGCAGCCTCTCTGTCTGCTGCTGGGAAGCATCTCCGGAAGAAACACTTACATGAACACACTGAATGATTTCTTCTCTCTGCTTGAGACTGAAGCTGCGGCCAAAATTAGAGGCTATTTGCACTCTCTCTGTGTGTTATATACACACACACACACACACACACACACACACACACACACACACACACAGATGTGACTGCCCTGTTGTGAATCAGCAAAAAAAAAAAATTTGTAGACTGCTGTGTGTGTGTGTGTGTGTGTGTGTGTGTGTGTGTGTGTGTGTGTGTGTGTGTGTGTGTGTGTGTGTGTGTGTGTGTGTGTGCGCAATCGCCAGAGCAGCAGGCAGGTGGTTTTCTTGTCCCCCCCCTCTGAAACATTGACGACACCTCACAGGCACGTCTCCAAACATCCCGCAGCACAATTGGGAGGCTTCAATAAACAAATAGGGCCGCTGCTTTAAAGCCACACACTCATAAATCACATTCACCTCCATAAAAGTGCCACAGGCCTCTTCACATGTAACACCATCACAGTTCATAAACATTTAATCAGACTTCGCGGCCCCACTGGCCATAGATTAGGGAATGGATCTATGATTATAATAATACTATTACACTTCCGGGAGACTTCGGAACAATGATTAATGATTGAGCTTGCAGCGTTTTTGTCATAAAATCATCAATAAGTTCCCTGCATGCATGTGGAGCCTGACGGTCGGTCTCGTGAAAGAGGGGCGGGATGTTTTCCAGAGCAGCCTGGAGCACCCAGCTCAACCTTCAACACAGTGTGTTCAAGCTCCGGAGCGAGGCCGCATTATTCCCACTTGTTTACTTCAACTCCAATTTCTATGTGCGCAACACCACCTGGAATGCGGACACTGGCGAACACACACACACACACACACACACACACACAGACTTCTACAAAACGCACATGGCTCATGATCAAGAGGCTCCGCTGCAGGAGTGTTGCGCCCCCCCCCCCCCTGCAAACACACTTTTCCCTCAAAGCTGAGCGATGCAGGTTCTCTCTAACAATATTCCAGCGCACTAATAGGGCAAAAAAAAAAAAAAAACAGGCGCGTAAACGCACCTGCGGCAGCGACACACTCACACACACAGAACTGATCCCACATCAGCTGAGCGAACAGAAATAACTTCACTCACGCTGAAAGACGCTCCTCTCCAGCTCCAGCACCGAGGCGCATTCTCCTCCTTTTTTTTTTTTTGAAAGTGTGTCATAGCTGGCAGGTGCAACTGCGAATAGAGAGGTCCCGTCCGATGAGGCGCAGTGAGTCCGGCTCGGCCCGCCCCGGACAGCATCGGCCGGGCTCGGCTCGGCTCGGGTCTCGCTGTCGGTGTGTCTCTGGAGGTCCGTCGGGAGATGACTGCGTACATTTCAGCTCTTTCCCCCCCCACCCCACCACCACCACCCCCCATCAGCCTGGAGCTCCGCGCACTCTGCCTCTCTGTTCCTGCCTTTTCATTATCTCATGTCCATGTGACACGCTCGGGCCTCTGACAGTGGAAACTTAAAGGGACCTCCCACGTGATGGCGCTCCGTGCGCGCTCGCGGCAGCCAGTGCGCGCGTCCCGGGGAAACAAGATGCTGCGCCCTCGATGGAAGTCAAACAGCAGGACGTAAACACCTCAGACTGCTTTTTAACCGGCTTTTTTTCCCGGAATGAGGATGATGAGGACGGTTGTTATTAGAGTGCCTTTTAATTCAATGATAAAAGTGTCATTTAAAAATAACTGCTGATGACTTTAACAGTGATGGTGATTATATCCGTAGGGTGTTTATAATGTTTGTGATGATGATGACAGTGTCTCTCTGTGTGCTATTTCTTTTAAAATGAGGTCATGCTGAGTGTGACATCAGCATGGGTGTCATAGTGAGGGGGGGGATGAGACCCAGGGCCTCAATGGAGGACAGGGCCCTTATTGGACCCGATATAAATATATGGGCTGTATATTTGTTTCTGTCTGTTTTATGTCAATATGTGAATTGCACACTGTCAAAAATGTACAAAAACATTGTTTAAGTACGGAAACATTGCCGGTATTTTTGTACAATTTAGACAATTTGCAGACAGTTTGCCTGCATTTTTAATGGAAGTCATTCCCTTCCTACGCGCCTGTTTTTTAAATTGGAAGTCTTTTTTTTTTTTTAAAGCTTCAGT